TTTCATCATAAATATTATATATACTCTTATTACTTAAAAACTCTTACCTGAAAATCCATTTTCAAGCTATGATCCTGACCAATGTTTGTCATGTCATGTTAAATATTAAATGGAGTGGTGATTTTCTCCTGCAGTTATCATAGAGCTTCAAGAATCATCAAATGGCATCATTTGTAGCCAATTCTCTTTAGACTTTGACAGTATACCCCACGTCCTTCCTAGTAGCTTCTTTATTGACTTGTGACTGTTCAATTTTTTATTAGCTAATGTTAATATTTTTAATTTAAGATGCAGGCTTAGAGTTCATTAATTTACAAATTTTGATGCTGGTTATTCTTCTCCATCTTCCTTCATTATTCTTATTCCCACCATTTTACACATGTTATATCATCTTATAATAGCCTTCATCTTCTTATCTATTTAGTTCCAATACTTTATCCAGTTTAATGGAGGGATTTGTAATGACGACTACTACTTAACATTCATGACCATGTCCTCATTGCATTAAATCAATTCACCTTTAAGTCTGAATAAAAATAGGAGGGGGGGGAAGCCAACCTTTCATAAATAAAACCATGATGGATCTCCATTAGGATGACAGTGGCCATGTAGAAGTGAGGATTGTGCATAGATCATTAAAATCTCCATCCCAAATTAAACCAGGTTGGCCTAAACTACATATTATATACCTCTATAAAATGTTATATTCCAGGAACTGAGTCATGATATATTAACAATTTTTATAAGAAAAAACTCCGTCTGAAGTCTTAACTATAATATCAAAATTAATACAACATTCTTCAGTGAATGGAAGTAAAGGAATCTAGCACTGAAATTTATGGAAGCATATTTGATTCAAGGATCATAATGCTATGAGTTGGAGGTGAGGAGGTTCTAACTCCACCAATACTGATGACAATGTCTTGTTGTCTTTGTAAGTGATGGTGTTGCCAAAACATTAATTGGCCTTCTGGTGGTAAGCTTCTTAGCTAGGACTGTTTCTTGGATAGCAGGTAAATAGTCTAATAGTATGTAGGGCCATATACAGTACTTAGTGGTTGGGACATAGTAGGTGCTCAATAAATGCTTATTGAATTGGATTTTTCAACTCGGTAAGTTTGATGAGACCTTATACATCATTAGCATAATTCACTAGAACCCTGGGTCAAAACTATTTACCCAAATACAAACATATCAAAGACTTATCTCTGCCAGAGACAATTGATTTTTGTAGTCAGCAGTGGACAGGGCAGAATGTGGCAAGAAATAGTCTCTTTTCATAGTACCTGTGTGATGATACAAGTTTAATCCTGGGCCACTTCATAAACTTCTAACCTTATGATAATTAACTGAAAAATAAACAAGTTTCCAGAGAATAGAACAATTCCCTCTGCTCCCTCAATACTGCTATATAGGAGCCACTTAGTTAGTATTTCCTTATGCCCTCTAATATTGATGGGACCCATAACTACAGAGCATAACTACTATGGAACCCTGGTACTTCTGGTATGTAGATAGTTATGCTTTTTTCCCTCTCTTTTTTTGTACTGAGAAGAAAACTAAGAAATAATGTGAAATTTTATGCTTGCTAACAACAAGAGAGGTGGTCATGGCAGTTCTATAACTGGTACTTCCAGTCCATTGCATGTGGTTTAATATCTCCATCTTTGAAAGAAGTTGGTTCAAGGATCATCTAAATTTTCAAATTTTGCAGCTTGTGTGATCATATAACAGAATGCCTTTATACATAGTAGACATTCAATGAAGAATTGATTGATGTTGAAGATACGCAATAAGCCTAGCCCAATGCCTGGCACATAGCAGGCACTTAAAAACTGTTGGATTAGGTACTGAAATAATTGTTTTTGTTGTGTGTGGTTTTTTTATGATGCTTCCTATGAACAGGCTGGAATTACAAGGTGAGATCTTAGTCTGTTCATTGTACCATGGCTTATGCCTTTTTTCTCTGGTGCCTGTGGAAATGCTTTACTGAACTATGCCATCTTGAGCATTATTTTTACACCTATGGTCTATCAATTTATTTACAATTGGCCACACATTAATTATTTCTGCCATGTCAGTCTTAAGAATTAAAGATGTATCCAAATCAATTTTGTTTTAGTTTGGATTTTGCCCCTTTAGGAAGGAAATTTCTTTTTTCTCCTATTATGTCTGAAGAATATTCTTCTGGATAAGAGACTTCATTAGATAGTATTACAGATGTAACAATACATTCTTTTAATCAATATAGAAACAGAAGAGATACAAATATGCATACTTTTTCATTTAAAGAGAGAAGTACAAATTCATATTTCAGAGTCTGAATAAATTGTTTCTACTGGTCCAGATTTTTTTTAATAGTTGTCAGTTTGCTAGTCTGAAAGAATGATAAATTATGGGGTAGCCTGCACTTAAAACTATCACTTGGTTGACATGTGATTTCCCAAAGGTCATTCAGCTTTTGTGGGGAAAAATATTAAAAAGATGAAAGGGGAATAGATTTGTATGTTCATGAAACAATTAAGCTAATTTAGATAGAGAATTTTTCTCTTTAAGCTTGATAAAAAAAAATTACTCGAATAAACTTGTCTTTAAATCAAAGAAGGCCCAAGTATTTCTGGAAGTATAGGAGAATGCTTTTATAAAAAGCAGCCATCCTTATAATGTTGTTAAACAGCTTTTTTTTAGATTTATAGTTTTTAATCCATAAAAAAGGAAAAATATGAAACTTTTCCCTTTGCAACCATAACCTTTCATGGTCATACACCTCCAGAGAAGTAGATCCCACAACCTTTACTGTTAATCTATGAGCAACTCTCATTTCCCCCTCTTTCTTTAATCTTAGTCACTTTTTTCTTTAACAAAAAGAAGTCATATACAAGTTTTAAAAAATCCAAGTCCAACATTGTATTAAGAAATATTTTATTAACAAAACAGTAAATTCCACTTGCTTAGCATTTCCAATAATGGATAAATTGGCCTTGCAACAGAAAAAAAAAAACCCTTAGATATCTAATCACACAAAGCACTAGAAGGATAGGGGCATCTGGCCTCTTTGATGATTTGGAGATGGCCCATCTCACACATTATTTTAGTGTTCTGTTTAAAAAAAGGCAACATATTACATGAATAGAAAAGAAGCCTCCTCAATCAGACAAATTACAGGCTAGAGATGTAACCAAATTGATGTCAGGTAGTTTGAAACGATAAAATAATAGCAAAGGCTATATATGGAACCCTGGTACTTCTGGTATGTAGATAATGCTTTTTTCCCCTCTCTCTTTTTGTATTGAGAAGAAAACTAAGAAATAATGTGAAATTTTATGTTTGCTAACAACATCAGGAATATACCTTGCTGGATTTATTGGGGTCACATTGAATTTGTAATTTTATGGAAAGAAATTCTGGTCAAATGTCACTGAAAAGACACCTTTTAATCAGCCCCAATTCCTGTCCCTGCTATTTGTACCACCTTACAATCATCATAGGCAATCCATTCTGGAATAAGTTTTGAATGGGAAATATTTCAATTTCAGGACATTCTATGGAACAGCAACAATCTTTTTTGAACCCTCAGGCTGTAAACTACTTAGGTTAATGTCTACCTTCCTATTTCGTTGGCTTTCCCTGAGTAAGGGTGAATGACAAATGTAATAATTTGGGAATTCCATTGGTTGGCAGGTTTTTCAAAGAAAAGATAATGGATATCTCAGATTTAATTTCATGCCTCCAACCATCAATATCTTAGGAATCATTTCCCAACCAAAAGATCTCTCCACCTATCACTTTGTTGAAAACCCTTAAAAGTGAGAGTTCATTTTCACTATTATGTACGCTAATTAAACATGTTGTAAGTGCTATATGTTTGAGAGGCATACCTATGCCACAGTTCAGCCTTCTTCAACAGCAAGAATAAGAAACACACATGATACTGTGTTGCATTGTTGCCCCTGTTTAAAGCTAATTTTAAAATCATGTTTTTGTTTTGTAAAACTTAAACATCCATACTTCTTCCAGGAGGCATTCAAGTAATGCAAATGAGTTCTAATGAAGTACCTCTTTTCAGCCCAATACTAGATTTTCTTTGCATTACCATATTATAATAAATGATTTATTGCTGTGATCTTCACTGAATATGTAAAAAAAAAGCCTTGTGTATAATCTATACCATTCTAATGCTTAATATGGGTTAAACTAATAAAATGTTTATTAATGACATAAGCTTAATTTTTAAAGTTATTTTAAAACATAGTCTTAATGGTCAACTAATATATGATCTTTTAGGATATTTAGTAATACAGAATCCAAAGTTGTTTAAAATACTTTCTTATAGGAAAAAAGTGCCCACTTTTCAAAAATCTTTAACATGCACTTCAAGTTCAGAGAATATATATCTTCTTTTTTAAATTAGAAATGAAAGTTTTCAATTGCAGCAGCCAGGGTTAAGATAGAGATAAATCATTTTTGCTTCTGTTACCTGCCCCCACAATGATTCTCACCCACAGGAACAGTCCACTAGTGAAATTCTATGTGGCGGGTTTCAGATTAGTAAGGGACTACAATTTTCTCAGAATTTCCTGGGAGCAAAATTTTAATGAAGCAAACCACACCATTCAGCAACAACACCTTGATCGGCCCATCTACTCACCCCTCCCATTTTTCACTCTGTTAGTAAACGTTGACCAGTTTATGAATGTTTGGGTCTACCATCAAATTTGACTGGTTCCAATGGTTAATATCAGATTTGGAAGGTATAGAATAGGGGAGAGAGGACAATTACAAGAGATATATACTATATATGTATGTATTTTGCCTTCTAATCCACATCTCTCATACAAACTACTAAACTTCATTTGCAACAGAATAGAAGCTGTACAGGTAAGAAAAAAATTAGCTGACTCTTTGTATATACATTCATACATATCCCCCTTATCACTACACTGTAATTTAAAACAAAAAAAAAGAAGAAAAAGAAAAAAAAACTGTGGCAATTTATAATGGCAGCAAAAAAACTGAAATAGATTTGGTGCTCCAGATGTCATAAACTCTCTATACCTAGCAACACTTATAACATTGAATCGACCAAAAATGGCTGAAGAGCAGAGATATAGATTGCATTGTCTATACAACAGGCTATAAAACATCACTTATCACAGTCCAGAAAGCACACATAGATGTGTTTTATATAAACATATGTAATAACATATTAAGCGTGCATGAAAATTTCCCAAATGATTGCATCTATGCCCTCTTGTTTTTGTTTTGTTTTAATTTTAGTGTGAAAATGTGCCTTATATTTCACATACTGGAAAATAAGGCCTCCATACTTTTTTTTTCCCTTACAACCAGAAAGGGGCTTTTTGAAAGTGTTCTAACACAAGTCTTCAAAAAAGCCAGCACTTCGTCTCCAATGCAAGCTCCAATCACTGCTCCTGGTGCACGAGGCAGCAAACTCTCTAAGGTTTGCATGTTGAGTCAGACCGAATGGCAAGAGTCTTCTCTGGCAATAAGACTCCCTTCTCAAGAAAGCGCTAGCACTTTGGCTAAATCCGGAATCATAGGTAGCTTCTTTTTTTTTTTTTTAATTTTGTTTTGTTTTGATTTGTATTGTGCCTTGATGTGATAATACTCCTTTGCTTTATGAATGCGTGGGGTCATCACTGTCTTTTAGAAATGTTCCAGCAACATAAAGACAGGCAGAGTAAATGAAAACACTGTGGATGTTAGGGAATTAATCAGCCCCTGCTTTCTGGAGAAACAAGAGCATGAGATACTTGTTTTTAAAAACAGTCTTTCCTTCCTGATTGCATTCCCTGTCTTCTTTTGTATGTGCTTCGTAAAAAGGAAAGTAAATAAGTTTGTATTATGTCTCAGATAAAATGAAGACTATTTCTATACAAGTGTCCTTTTGGGATGTCAGGATCAGACATAATACTCTTTATCCTTGTTTTTCTTGTTTTTGTTGGAACTTTTAGCACTGTTAGGCTGTTTCTCCTTCACGACCGCCCCATTGGACTGTGCTGAATTACTGATGTAGTTTCGACTCTCATCTACATGGTATGAACCTTCGTCTCGGTTTCTGTACTTGTACATGGCGTAAAGGAGGATGAGGATACACAGGGCCGCAGCGGCTATGATCCCAACGACCATGCCTGTCGTGCTGCTGGATTCTCGGATCACTTCTGCAGAGCCTGGGTAGTCTCTCCCACCTGCTCTGGTCGGGTTGGCTGTAGGGAAAGGGATGACAAAAAGAAAGAGATGAGTACTGAGCTTACTGACAATCAGAGAACTACGTTAACACTGAGCATTCCTTTCGTCCTTAATGGAACAGCACTTACTGGCTTCAGGAAAGTGCAATGCTGCTAAATGTAGCAGGCCCAGTACCTCTTGGTCACTAAAGAGCAGGAGATGTGAATTGAAAATACTCAGGGAGAGATTTGCTGCCATATTTTTTCATGTACATTAATTATATTAATGGGGTTCTAAAAGTGCATCCTCAAGTAAACTCAGTTTAGCACTAAACAAAAAAAAAAAAAATCCTGATCCATTGAATTGATGTTACAGATTCATAATGAAAATGAAAAATACATTAATGAAAATAGTATAGCTCCTCATGGTACCAAAGGGTATCATTTTGAAAAACTGAGTGACTCATTCAGACTAAAAAGTTATGGGACCCATGACTTGAGCTCTTCCTTTAAAGTCTAATTCAAATGATATCTTCTCCATAAAGCCTTCACTGATCTCCCCATTGTTAACAATTTGTCCCCTTAAGCCTTATATAACAGTTTGTTATTTCTGCCTTTTTAATATATTTTATATGTAATGTAGCATACTTCAGCTATGTCTATATTTTATTCCCCTCTTAGACTAAAGGCTCCATAAAGTGCTGTGTTTCTAATATATTTTTACCCCCTCCAGAACCTACTATGGGGCAGTGTGCATATCAGATGCTTAATAAATGGTTATTGAATGAATGAAGATTTAACATAATCACCTATGCATTCCTTCTACAATTATTTATCAAGTACTAACTCTGTTCTGAAGACATTTGCCTTGTCCTCCTAGTTATATTTAAAGATTATACTGGATTCTTGAATCACTGCAGAGAAGTCTACATAAGGTTGTTTTTAAAAAAAAATATTAGTTTCCATACCAGAGGAGGGATGCAGTGTATAAAGTACTGAACAATAAGCTAATCTGTGCATTTGAGAAAGTCTAATTGCATACATTTCAAAATGTAATTTTAGTTACTTATCTTTACAACGTGCAAAACATATGATTGCCTTCTTGACTTGAAAGTTATTTCCATTTTTTTTAAAATTCCCAAGGGCAAAACTTTGGAGGAGAACATATTCTCCGTAAAAAATAATGCTCCAAAAAAAAAAAAATTAGGCCTAAAGACATTTGTGAAGAGGGACAATGAGAAACAAAGGGCTGGATCAACCACCAAGGTTAGTATTACCCATGGCAAATGAGACTGCCAACTCCTAAAACATAGACATTTTCTACTAGGAATTATTCCATCTTTCATAACCTCAGTGAGAAGATAGGATTTGGATTTAAGGGTAAGAGAAGCAAGATGAAAGAAAAAGTATGGGGAGGCATCAGTTCTTTAAATCTGTATTTTAAAAAATATTCTAGACCAATACAAATTTACCACAGACCAATTGGTTAAAAATTATTCGAATGAAACTAATAGATTACTTATTGGGGATAAGCTGGGAACTCCCAACATATGAAAAACACTTAAAGAAATACATTTTAGGGTACCCTAAGGCTTCTCCATTTAGGAGCCAAAAGTCAGAGGATTTTTAAATAGAGAAGGAACCTAAGAGAAAATTATCTTTTTTTTTTCTTTTCACAGATGAAGAAAATGAAGGCCAGAGAGGTAAAATTAGCTTCTCTTCCTTAAATAATCAGCAAGGTTGTATAATATGGTGAAAAGGGCAGCTAGATGGTATAATGGAAAGAGTCTTAGACAAAGTTAGTAAGACCAGAATTCAAATCCTGCCTCAGACACATGTTAGCTGTGTGACCCTGGGCAAATTATCTAACCTTTCTCAGTATTGGTTTCCTCATCTGTAAAATGGGGATAAATAACAACAGCACCTGTCTCACAATGATGTGAGGATACAATGAGATAACATGTAAAGCACTTTGAAAACTTTAAACTGTTATATAAATGCTAGTTATGATGATGATGGTGATGATGATAAAAAACAGTAGTAGCAGTAGTAATAGTAAGAGTAAGAATAGTAGTAGTAGTAGCAGTAGCAGCAGCAGCAAAAAGTACTGGTTTGGGAATCAAAAATTCCAGCTTGGTTCAAGTTCAGCTTTTGCTGCATGATTTTGCTCAAGTCATTATAAAATAAAGGGATTGAATAGAACTAGATACTCTGTGAGTTCTCTTCTAACTCTAATATTCTATTATTTTAGCAAGTCTTATTTCTAGACCTAGAAGCCAGGTGTACCTTCTTTTCTGATTGCTCTATATCATATTTTTTAAAATCTGCTCATTAAAAATACCAAAGTCTTTCTTCTCTCATATTCTGATAATTAGTTTTTCAGGTAAAGAGGATGGAGAGAAATAATTTCTGTACTGCCTCTTGCCTCAACAATTACTCCTCACTCAACAACACTTACATCTTCCTACCATCTTCCAGCAGCCTCTCTCTTCTATAACACGCATACATGCACACACATACACATACAATGCCTCATAAAACTGCACTTATAGCTAAATCAATGGAATTATACTCCCATTTTTACCTATAAATTTCTTAAATTGTATGATTCCAAGATGATTCAACAATTTGAAAACACGTATTAAATGATTACTAAGTACAGAGTATTATGTGAGGCTTTGGGGAGACACAAAATATAAATGAGACATGATCCCTGTCCTCATAGAGTTTATAATCAAAGGTGTTATTACATAGGCAAAGAATTAAAATAGGTAATAGTAGATAAAGAATATACTTTAAAAACTGATTTTGATGCTTTGATTATGAAATTAAACTCACAAAAGAGGTTAAAAACACTAAAGATGAACCTATTCTTCCTCAACTTCTAGTTAGTAGCTATAATTTTCCCTTTTCCCATTTTCCTATACAACTCTCATATATCATTTCTTAGCACCGTTCACCTCCCAAGCAGACACATATAAAAGTTTCCAATTTCTTTTCCAAATAGAACAGTATACATTTCATTCTATAGCAATATGGGTGGGTTGGTTTGTTGGTTTTTTTTCCACTGCAAAAATAAGCTTTCTGGGGAACATTCACTTACACAGCAAGAGGACCCAGTCTCCAAGCAATAATCAGCAATGTCTCCTGGCCATCCAAAAATGAACTAAGGGAACACCCTTCTGTGTTGAAAATGTCCGTGCTTTCTTACAAAAGACAATGTAATGATGCTGAATAAAGCCTACAATTGCTTCTGTGGCCAAGGCAGGATGAGACAAAGGCTGTAATCCACTGTATTTGATTACAGGAAATTAATTTCCTCTCAAGAAAGAACACACTGGCCCGAAGAAACCCTGTCAGTCAGGGCCTGACGAAGGAAAGGCTGCTCTTCTCGTTTCAAAGACATCTTTGCCAAATTCCGTCAGTTAGCCTCGCTGCTAACTTTCACTAAATGACAACTCCTCCCCTTGCTCATTCCCTGGGACAGTCTTTGATGAGCACTGAAACAAGGAACTTTATATTTAAATGTTACCTAAATTATTTTTCCACCTGCTGGAATACTTTAATTTAAACCACATTTTCACATTTATCTCACTCAGCTGGTCTGTCAGAGGAGAAAGGAGTGAGGGTGGGATGGAGGTGAGGCCCTAACGCTTTCCCTGAAAGTAGACTTACAGCATTTTGATGGTATATTTTCCTACATAGGAAAGTATTAGAGACTTTATGAAATAGGTTTACTTTTTTGGATGTATGTTTTTGGTAATGGAATAGCTTATTCAAAATCTGGCTTAGTTATTGTCTGCTCAAATATTTTCTGATCTATTTTCCTAACAGACCTCTGCATTCAAAGAGAAAGATAGAGGAGAAGCAAAGAAAGAGAGAGAGGAAAAGCTAGCAACAATTTGCGTTTTGTTTTGAAAAGACCAAAAAGATACCTCAAAATCAGTTAAATACCTGATGGGACCAGGAAGAATGTTTTCATCACAGACTAAATGTGACTTTATGCTATATATGCAAGTAAAAGTATCTCTCAGCAAACTATACATCCGAAGCATTTAAATAATGTTAATTTGACAATTTTATTTTTAGAAGACTAAAACAAAGGGATAGACAGCAATTTTTAAAACATTTTTCTCCTTGAGTTTCTTGTCTCAGTTGAAATTAAATGTTTAATGACTAGTCCAAGAGTTAAATATCCAAGAGATATTTAATTGCTGATACTCCCTGACTAATTCATGAAATCACTTTCTGTTTATTCTCCAATCCGAAAGTCTAAACGCTAGTTTACTTAATCAAGGTTTTAATCAAGGATCAGAAGTGCTTTGATATCAAAGTGGTGAGTGAGCTGGCTCTGATGTGATATAACAAGGCCCAGCAGCCCAGACTTGGGACTCACATGGAGTAGCTACAATCTGGGGTCAACCATACCAAACCATATCTCTTTTGTTTGTTTTATTTTTCCTCACCCTAGATTTGCCTGTGGGAAATCTTGGGATATGTTTCAAATACGGTTCACGTTTAGATCTCCACAGATGAGGGCAAAAGGGTCCTCATCACTATAAAAGCAACCAAGCTAACAACCCAATACAGGGTACTTTTTATTTCACTGTATGGAAAATGCAGAAAACACAAAAATGACTCACAACGGTTCATAGACATTCAATACGTTTTTTCCCCTCTCTGAGGAGTCTTACTTCCATACCTTCCTGTTCCCTCATCCCAGGGTATGCACAATTCCCCAGAATCATAGGCCCACTTTGTGGTTTGAACTTTCTTCAAAAGAAAAATAAACTTGGGATTATAAGAGAGGAAACTTTTCCATCACACCTTCAATGTCCCAATAATTCACAGTAATGGCTGAGGGAAAAGCCTAAACATCTTCTTTCCCTCTATCATGGTTTAGGAAATTGTTGTTCTTCCACATGGTCACTTGCATGATTTTCCTGTCCCCAAGAGGCTGGCAACCGTATAAAAACTCCCCTTTTGCTCTCTAGAAGGTAGGGTCCCAAATTTGCAATCTTGGTATCATTAGAGGGGCA